CATCAATCGTCTACATCTGCATCGTGAATCTCTGATTATTGTCATGTCTTTAAGGCAGCAAAAGAGCAGGAATGGACCAAACCAACAGGCTGGGAACTTAAATATTTAAACAACTACCCAAAGGGGTGATTTCAGAACTCTCTACAGGCTTTGGAAATACTGCTTCATTGAAAAAAATCTACATATTTATCATTTGGTAAAACCATCACAGAGTCCTCCTCCCTGAAACAGCAGGCTCTTTTTTTTCCCTCTTCTGCAAGAACAGTACAGTCTGTATTTTCTAGCATTAAGTAAAAATCATTCCGACTGACAGCTGTGATATTTCTGCTGCTCTCTTATTCAAAAGAACAGTTCACCTGCCCAGCATCCGCCTGTCAGAACAGAACCAGCACACACGCAGCCACGCTGAAATCAACCACAGCTCAATCTATCCGTCCTTTTTCATGTGACGCACAAACAGAGGAAGGTGCCGAGAACATCACTGATTCACTCTGATCTTTTTGGTAGAACCTGTCAGGTCATTTGAATTTTGTCTGATTTGTAAAACATTACATGGATAGCTTTGTTTCCTAAGTGTTGCTGATTTGACCTCTACGTATCCCGTCTTCCTGTTGGCTTTACACGCTGTCTGATAGGTGCTTTTCAGTGGCAGCGTTTAAGATCAAAACATGTTTCTTAGCTGGTGTTGTGACTCAGCCAATGGGAATTTTCTCTGATTTATTTTCTTATCACAGCCTTCAAAGGTCTATATGTTGTGGCTGAGATTTTCTTTGGCAGAGAAATGCTGTCATGTCACAGTCAGACGGAGGGTTTATTTAGCCGGGGAATTCAGATATCTTTAAACATGGGGACTAATTTGACATATTTTGGCGTTTAAATGATCAACAGGTACAGAAAGGTTTTGGAATTTCTCCAGCCTGTAGGTTCGAGACGGGCTGTAAGGAAAAATGCACTCAAAGAAAGTTATGTCCACCTAAAGTTGCTTTTTGTTGTCACTAACAGGCTTAGCTCATCATTCAAACTGCCTGCCAACAGAGCTCAACAGCGTGGATCCTGAAGTAAAAAAATCCTGTTCATTTTCTTCACAGCAGATTTGATTATCAGCCATGATGTCAGAACCACCCGAGGTAGACTGACCACGAGCTGACTGAATGTGAAACGATGTAGAAGACAAAAGTTTGTAGGATGTCAACATCAATTTAAAATAAAAAACAGTTTTATTCGATGTCGGTGAAAAGAACTACAATATCCACAATCCTAGAGTGTCACAGCCACGTCTCTGATTGGTGGAGCGCACTGTAACAATGGAAATGTTGACCTCCCCTGATAACGTCAGCTGTTGGCTTCAATTGCTGAAGTTAATGAAAAGTTTAGCACACTTTATATTCACAAACAACATGCAAAACTACATACGCGCTAAACTATCATTTGTTGGGTCTTATTGGAATCGCAATGGATTGTGGGATGCGTAGTTCATTCACTCAGAAGAAATTATGTACACAATTTTGAAACGTTGCCTTTTTCCCAATCAAGGTCAAGTTAGCCCTAAAAAAGTTATTTTGCAGCCATTGCAGCCTGTTTCACTGCAGCTGACTGAAGCCGTCTATATATCTAATCATCTAATTCCCATTAATGGCTGTTAAGTAAAGTCCTCCTGCATCACTACAATTAACTCAGAGCAGCCTCCATCAAATCAGAAGCAGACTGATATCACATTTTTAATAAGAACCGGTATGCCCTCTATGTCAGTCTCAGTCTAGCATGCAAATGTGAGCGGTATTGAACCACATCTTTGATCGAGTTATGATGAATTCAGATCAGCCTGAGTCGGGGCTGTCTCTCCTTCACAAAACCTCTGGAAGACTGCAGGGCATGTTGGCAAATCTTTCACACACACACACACACACACACTGACACACAACGAGCACAGAGTAGGTCGTTGCCAAGCTTTCACCAACAGTTCTCACAGCTGGGTAGAAGTGGCAGAAGGAAGGAGGGATAGGAGGAGGTGTAGGGAGGAGGGGAGGAAAGTTAAGCTGGAAGAAGGGATGAAAGGGTACGTGGGTGGGGGGGCTTGGGTGGAGAGGAGAAGTAAACGAAAGATGGTGGCGAGAGAAGGTGACAAAAGGAAAGGAGAGGAGAGATGATACAATGAAGTGAGGTATGCACAGACGATTATGATTGAGATGAAGAGGAGGAGGAGGAGGAGGAGGTGACAGGTAAGGGAGAAAGGTGGCGAAAAAGATGGAACAAAATGGAAAGGAAACACAGATTTTCTATATGGAGTGGAAGATGCAAGTAAGATAGCAAAGGGAGGAAATGATAATCATTTGTGTTGTCTATTCTTCCCAAAAAATAGGAAAGAAGGGATTTAGAATGAAAGGATCTAAAGAAAGAAGGAAGGAGTAGTTGGAGAGGACGGCAAGTAGAGGAGATCGTAATGGGAATGGTGAGGAACGAAGGAATAATGAGAAGGAAAAGAGGCCGTTGTCGTCTGTTCCTAAAGAAAAGGGGGATGGCAGAATGAAAAGATGCAAGGTTGAAATGGAGGATTAGGATGAAGAGGAGGAAAGGTGATAGAATGATTAGCTGAGGAGGAGGAGGAGGAGGAGGAGGAGGAATGGTTAGGTAATAGAGGAAGGTGACAGAAAATGAGAAAGGGAAAGAAAGGAAGGATGAAAACATCTAGATAATGGGAGGAGAGAAGGAAGGGCGTTAAAATAAATGACATGAGGAGGAAGATAAAAAGCAGGTAAGAGGAAGTTAAGAAAGAAAGATGACAAAAGAGGAAAAGCTTAGAGAAGGAGGAGGAGTAGAAGGTGGAGGAACTGAAGCTATGAAAGAGGAGAGAAGGTGGCAGTAAGAGGCTGGAAAGACAAACATCAAAATGAAGCTGTAAAAACGATTAAGAAACAGAAGATATGCTAAAGAAAATAATGGAGAAGAAAGGAGGATGCAAAAAAGACAAAGGGGTGGGAAGAGAGATGAAGAAAGATGGAGGGAGGCGAGAAGAAGAGAAAAGGAAAAAAGGTGGGAGGTGTGGAGAAAGCATGAAGGAAAAGAAGGTGACAAAGAAGGAGAGATGAGGAGAGAAGAAACTAATGAGGCCATCAAAGGAGAGGAGGAACACAAGGAGAGGAGATGAAAGGAGGCTTTTGTTGTCAAATAGGAAAAGAGGCAACAAGGCTAGAAGGAGGGGAGGAGGCGATCTAAGATAGGGAGAGGAGATTAGGGTGAGGAGGAGGAGGGTGGAAGAAGAAAGAGATGGGAAGGTGGCAAAGAAGGAGAGGAGGAGGAGAATAGGTTAAAACAGTTTAAGAGGGAGGCAGAAGAAAAATGAAGAGAAATTGAAGGTGATACTTTAGGGAAAAGGACGCAACAGAGAAAAGGTGAGAAAGGAAATAAGGAAAGGTGGAGAGAAAAGGGGAGGAAGCTGTAGGAAAGAGGTGAAATGGAGAAGGCAAGGGAGCAGGGTGACAAAAAACAGGCGGACTAATGAGGATTGGAGGAAATAAGGAAAGGAGACAAGAGGCTTGTCTTGACAAAAAGGAAAGAAGGGAAGGTTGTTAGGAGGGATACAGACGACCTAAGGCAGGAAGGGGGGATTGGATGACAGACAGATGGAAGATGAAGCATCTTAAAGCATGCAGAAATAAAAAAAAAAGAGTGACATGAGGGTGATGTGCGAGGGAAATGGATGCAAAGGCAAGGGAGAAGGAGGAAGGAAACAAGGAAGGACCAGGAGTAAATGAAGCTGGAGGACGGGAGGAACATGAAGGGAGAATGGTAAGAGAATAGAAAGTGTACGAGCTGCTGAAGGTGGATCAAAATGTAAAGCAAGGAAAAAGGAGAAAATGGAGGACAACCAAGGGTTAGGGACCAAGTAAGAAAGGTGAGGGGGTAAAAGGAAGAGTGTAGGAGCAAACAGAGGATATAGGAGACGACGTGCTAAAAAGGAAAGAGAATGAAAGATGGAGAGAAGAGAGGTGGATGTTTGCCTTTTTCATCCTGAAGGACTGAAGGCTGCAAGGCAACGAGGGAGGAGGGGAGGAAAATAAGGCTTCAAAATGGGAGGAAAGTGAGGAGCTAACGCCAAGATGAGAGGAGAGGAGGTGACAAAGGGAAGGAAAGGAAAGAATGGGGAGGAAGGAGAAGGGATTGAGGGCTGGAAACGGGCCCTCGGATCCCCCCCCCCCCCCCGGCACTCACCAGACCAAACTGGTGAAAACCAATCCCCATCAACATGACTCCTCACGTTCTCCTCCTCCGTCACGCCCTCCTCTCTCCTTTTCATTTCCTGCCTTCCTCTCTCCTTCATCCCTCTCTCTCCACACACACCATCACCTGCTGGTTTCTCACACAATCAATTGATTACAGCGTCACTTATCACCTCTGCTATTGAACGCTTACTTTACCACAGCACACAATCACAACACTCATTCATCTGCATTCACTTCCAAATGTGCAAAAACCTCATTTTTAAAAAGAGTGAATTTAGATTCATCAAATGGTTTTTTTTTTAAAAACCTTGGGGTCAAATGAAAATGGAGGTGTTACTTTTGTTCCTGGCTTCCTGAGGTTGCTGGTGCTTTTTAAATCATGAGGTGGAAATGAGCGAGCGAGGCAGAGATGCATAGAGAGACAGACAGAGAAAGAGAGAGAGAGAGAGAGAGAGAGGCTAGACAGACTAATCTGTGGCTTCAATAATAAATGTAGTTGGAAACTACTGAACCATAGGGCACTACAAGACATGACAGTGAGTGTGTGTGTGTGTGTGTGTGTGTGTGTGTGTGTGTGTGTCACCCCAGAGGAGAGAGAGAGGGGAAAAAAGAGGGAGAGAGACAGTGTGTTTGTGCATGATTGGGGTGTGTGTGCATGTTTGAAGGTGGTTGTGTAAGCATGTAAAAGTGTGGAAGCGCGCGAATATGCATGCAGTTCAATATATTTTCGTCTGTGTACCCCCCCCCCCCCCCCCTCCCCCTGCCGTTTCCCCTGCACACCTTGCCTCCGTAGCCTCCTCTTCTTCAAGCCAAATATCCGGACTTTGGAGAAGATGTCGACCAGGTTCCCGTTGCACAACCCCTGCTTCTTGCCGGGGCTCTTCCTCCGCCGGTGGGTCGTCGGTCGGTGGGCGTGTTGCTCCCTCGCCTGCCGCTTCTGCCGGATCAAACCGCTGGCGATAGCCGCTGCCATGTCTCCGCCGAACTAGCCGACACACGGTCTCCGTCCGTGTCTCCGGTGTCTTCGGTTGTGTCCACCGGAGGGGACGGAGCGCACGCAAAACCAGACGCAAAGCCTCTCCGGTCTTCTACCGGCTATAACCGCCCCATGCTTCAACCTCAACGACGCAAAGTCCGAAATAAATACTTAACGTTACACCGTATTCCCCAGGCCATTGATTTGAAACGGTTACCTGTCCGTCACGTCTCACCGGTCTGTCTGTCAGTCAAACAACAGCTGCTGTCACTGAACGGCTCCCCAAAACGGTTTTACCGGACCCGGTTTGTCACTTTGAGTCCCCATGGTGAACGGACGTGTCTGAAAAAAGGAGACTGGAGCTCCGCAGAGCTGCTGTCTGTGTCCTCTCTCTTTTCAAAACCACCGTTTATATTCCACAGGCAGGAGATGCGCTCCAGCTGTGTGCAACTAGCGGCAGTTACCACGGGCAACACCGGAAACGGGGCGGTTTGCCTTTCAAAGTCAAAGCACTATATGTAAGTAAGTAAGTAAGTATCCTATTTTTCAATCACTCCCTTTCGAAAGGAACACATCAGAGATTTACTTCAATCTCATGCACGGCGTTTTTTTTATACTTCCTTTATCATGCAACCTGTTGCTGCCATCAAGTGGTCAACACCTCCAGCCAAATCTCAACTATTTAAAAAAAAAAAAAAGCTTACATCTTTCCCCCCCAAAAAAATCACCATTTAAAAATGACATTTGATTTAATGTGTTAAATGTTTCTGCTTTTAAATATCGCACTGCTGACTTTATATTGGCTTCTACACAGTGACATTTCTTTAATAGGAGGCCTTATGTTTTATTTAATGTTTGCACCACTTTTAACTTTATATTTTTATTTATAACCATAATATACTTTTAATTTCCTGTGTCAAACTGTTGCATAATCCACAAGATTAATCTTCCTCATGTTCAACTCGACAGGGGAGATGACATGAGACGTAAGAGATAGCCTCAGGAATAGTTTTTTAAATCGTACATGATCAGCAACGTGTCGTTGTTAATGTGAAAGCAATGACCGGAAGTGCCTGTGGTGGTCGTTGTGTTTGGTTGACGTTGACAAGCGCGAGCGCTCTCTGGAAACCAACCGGTGATGGAGCCACGCGCCGACCGAGCAGCCTCTCAAAAACAACCTGTAAGGTAAAAGGTGTGTTTCGGGTGTGGAGGACGACGTCATGGTTTGGTGGTCGGATGGAACCGGAACCGGAGCGAGAGGGACTCTGAAGCCTTTTTCATCATGTTTGTCTTTCCTGAAAATTTCGTTTTTTGGTGATTAAATATATTTATTCTATAGTTTATATTAAATATTCTGCGTTTAAAGGTTAATTTAATTTATTTACGGGCTTAAAGATACGTTTAAAAAAAGGTTCTGCTGCCCCTTCAAAATGTTTTAAACTGCTCCCACATGAAATAATCATTTATCTGCAGCTATTCTCGTGTGTTGTGCAAAAACAATGGTCTTGTATTTTTCATATCTTGGGGTCTCATTTTGTATTTTATTCAGTAGATTGCTTCAGTTGGAGAAGAACTGCACCTGATCAAAGTTCATCCACTTAAAGTTTTTGTTTGGACCCTGATAAACTCAGATTGTTATTCTAAATGTCTGACAACTTTATAGAAAAGATCCCAACAAAGATAAACCTTTCGATGAGGTTATACTCAAACAGCTGTTTATCTATCTCTCTTCAAAGCCACCAAACTCCACTGACAAAATCTTTAATTTCCCCTTTGGCAGAACACAGCAGCTGCTGGTTTAGTGCTGACATGATTGGTTAGATTATCTTGTGTTATCTTGTTTTTTATTGGATCCAAGTTAACCATTTAAAATACTAGTGGGAGACAAACCATACAAACAACTTCACTGAAGGATGCCGCTGGGAGATCAGCATCTCCCAAGTCTGGAAAGTAAAGCTCTGTTCTCTATGTCAAAAAGCTCGATCTCTGTCGGGATCCTTTCTGTAATGCTGTCAGATTATTAAAACAACCTGAGCCGAAAACATGCACTTTTAGAGGATGTACTTTGATCCCCCAAAGGACGATGTTGCAGCCATTGCAGCCTGTGTTGTAGTTCCAGGTCTGCAGTGATCTCCTGGTTCTGTGTTAGTCATTAGTAAAAGTCTCAAAGTATACTTGGACCCAGGTTTCAAAATACAGTCATTTACCTTTAAATCTGAGTAATTTAAGGCTTACAAAAAACAATTAAAGTAAGTGGAAAGGAGAAGAAATAAATATGAGAAAATGTGTATTTTAAATTGTTTAGCAGACTTATGAAATGTTCTAAGGGACCCTGCTTCTTAACACCTTTTGAAGTGTTTAATATACTAATTACGGTTCAGAGTGGCAGGCGGGTAAGACAATGAAGGCTGCTCCACTTATAACCTCATCTCACACAACCCTTACTGTCTGCACTCAGCTTATGAAAGAACGCCTGCCTGTCTGTCTGAATGGTTTAAAAATGCAGGAGGTGGGCTCGATTGACGGGTGGATAAACTGGAGGCTTCTCTGCCTCACATGTTGCGTTTGAATGTACACGTGTGCGTACCTTTTGTAAACTGTAAGATTATACTGTAGGTCTGGATACACTCAGATTTCCTCCATGATGTAACAGTATGTGCGGAGGTGTCAGGTGTGGCCACTGTACTGAGAAGACGTACACAGTTTTAAAAGTTGTAAGTGCTGCTCTGATTCAAGTTTTGCCTAAATTTCCCGAGCCAGCATAAATTTGTCTTTCCAGCGCGGCATGTAGGTCAGCCATCTCTCCAGAAGAAAGAGCCGGGCAGGGACCCAGCTGGACACAAAGGAAACTAAAATGAAATGTCCATTTCTTCTGGGGAAAGTGATGTAAAAGAAAGAAAAAAAAACCTTTTCCAATTTATCTGACCTCACCATGAATAATGGACAGCAGGGTTTGGCCGTCATTACAGAGACACAATTCATCCCCTCCGGATTTTCTGACCTTAATGTTACAAGTCTCAGGAACAATGTGTGCTTCTTATTTGTTTTTTAAATATGAATATTATGAGTTCCCTGGTTGTGTCCAAAAGTCCTACTTCTGCAATATTTAGCATTCAGGAAAAAAATCCAGTTTGTCCCATTTCACCTGCATGTGTCAAAAGCAAGATTACGAAATATATTCAGTCACATGTTTATGTAAGCTTGCATACTTTTTTTGGCTAATCTACTAAGAGCAGAGAGAGAGGTTTTAGCAAGAGGAGAAAAGTTTCAGGATCAGTGTAGTGAAGAATAAGTGCGGCCAAACTGCTGTTATAAATCCTGCAAAGTAAAGGCAGCTGCATTTAGTACTGTAGTAAGAAGAAGAAACACGCATACAGATGTGATTACAGGGAAGGACAATGATTTCTTCCTTTGTTTTGTAGAGAAATATATCAAAATCATTAGAATGAATTAGATTTGCATTCCTTTTTTTTTTTTTATCCCTGTAGGTTAAACCGTTTCCATTAATGTCAGTCGCAATCAGGGGTCAGCTGATTATCAGGTAGTCAGGTATGTCTCCCCTCTGATTCTGTTTGAACTCTTAATATTAATGTTTGAATCCTGAGTGACGTCACACATTGGGTTTCAATAGAGCCAAAGACCGAGACAATTAGTCGAAGAAGCAGAAGTTGTGGATCCAACGTTAATGTAAAGAACCAAAGCCGTGTCGATCTGCAGACCTACCATCGAGTACTGAGAGGGCGTAGCATTTACAACTTTGTTTTTCCACACTCTTAATTAACACAAGCTTTACAACTTCCACTTTCCATCTGTTTATATTTCTTTATCTGGAACATGTACAAGTTACAGCGGAGTCAGAGAATACTTTAAACACGTTGCTCAAACCAAGGCAGAAACTATATTAATGATTAACGCCTGTTGTTAAGCACAATCAGATATTCTTATTACATTTTCTGATAAGATGTCAACTGTTGTTAACGGTTGCAAATGGCCTGAGCTAATCTGGATTCTTTAAAATTAGTTTGTTTATTGCACTTCATGTAGTAGTTATCTTAATTAACCCAATGCTATTACGCGCCAAAGAAAAAATAGTTTAAGTCCAAAATGTGAATTATGTTCTGCAGTTTTTTTGGCAAAATATATAAATAAAAAGAGCACTTGTTGTATCTGTAGTCGTCATTTGCTGTGTGTTTCTTACTTTATTTTTTGCACAACATAAGAGTGTTGCTTAAAAACAACAAAGCCAATGCATTTCTATTTTTTTTCCCTGTATAGTTTGGAAAAAGATGATGTGGACGGGCAGAAGGTGACTCATATGTAATGAAAAAATAATCAGATGTAGCTTTGAGACCTCGTGACATCAGCAGCAGGTCAGATCCCTGGAGTTAAAGTTTCAGCACCACGGACAGCGCACATGCTCTCTCTTAGCCAGTCAGTCTAAGAGAGAGCATGTGCGCTGTCCGTGGTGCTGAAACTTTAACACTCACGGGGAGAGAGAGAGTGAGAAAAAGAATGGGAGGGAGGGAGATTAACCCGCACAGTTTCCTAAAAGATATCACAGAATGTGGTGCATTTCTGCCCTCACATCCACTAGGTGGCGCCAGAGTGTGTCTATCAGCCCTGCATAGGGAGCTCCCTCATAGACAACAGCAGTAACAGTGGGAGTAGATCAATAACACAGTGGTAGGTCACTGTGCGTGCTGCATAATGATCTGTTAAAATGGGGAACCCTGCAGAGACAAGACGTAAAGCCTGCTTGTTAAAACGCTTTAAAACCAAATGATTGGAGTGAAGAATCGATCATCAGAGTGTTTGAGAACATTTTGTTTTCATCATTTCTGCTCTGATATATTTTGTGTTGCTTGTTGACATCATGGCCTAAATTAAGACACATACAGTTGTCAATTTCAGCACAAGAACTCCACTGCAGGAGCCCACGCTTTCACTTTTTGTGTTTGATATTGCTGACACTCGACTCTTACTTGTCTCTCTCCCAGATGGTAAAAAAAAGCAGAGAACAAAAAAAAAAGATGTGTGTGTGTGAGGAGGCGAACGTGTAAGCTTTTTTATCCAGGTCAGCTCCAAGTGAAGGAGTGATGAATAAATCAAAGCTACATTTACATTAAAATTCATCTCTTCTCTCCTCTTTTTATAACACTGGAGGAAGACGACACGCCGCCTCTTAAACTTCAAAAGGGAAATTCTCTGCGCTCCATCCCTCCTAACATTCACTTCTTTCTCTATCCAGCCAAGCAAAAGATACAAAGAGAAACCCTCGGACCATCCGAATTTTCTGCTTCATGATTTCAATGAGAACATAAAAACACACTCACGCACGGATCAACACAAGAATGCACCCAAAACAAGAAAACAAAAATATGAAATGACGCCTAAGAATAC